CACAGGGTATAATGATTGTAGTGGGTCGAAGCGCGCTGATCATTATTTTCGATGAGAAGGTAGGGAAGAGGAGATCTTTCCAGTGATAAGCAGCTTTAGCGGCTGGAAGTTCGAAAGGAGATCTCGGAGCTGTCCTAAGCTCAAGAGGGAAGGGGAGAGCTCAGATGGCTCGTATATCCACAGCGACAGGTCCCCTAGAAAATGAGCAATCAGACTGCGTAGAGTGGCAGAGCCTAATTGGTTCCGTGAACTCATGATAATCCTGCGATGGAAGGCGGGCAATCACGACGGCCGTCTCACATCCGGAACCCGCAGGCTGCTCGACAGCGCAGAAAATCACCTTTGCTTAGGAGTTTTCGGTTCGCAATTCGAGGTTCTCACTCGGGCTCCGTGTCCTGTTCTCCGCCTGGTTTTCCGTGCGATCCGACCGTGCCGCGTTCAGATTTGCAGAGACGGCAAATGACCTGTCGTGTTCCTCTGACGGTTCAACCTCCAGTGGGACGCCTCCAGCCTCATTACCGAGTTTATGAAGTAATGAGTTGGAGCCGCGTGACGCAAACCGCCTGGGTTTGGGAGCGATCGGGCATTTCCGATATATATATAATTATAACGGGAGACTTCGGGCTATCAGTGATAGTGGATGAGCAACTAGTTGTCTGAGCGTGTCCGCTCACTTCCGCGACGTTCCCCGCCGAGGCTCCAATCAGTCTCCCTGCACGCTTCGGGTAAATGTCCCCACTGCTTGGAGCTTGTGAGGGTATTTAGGACGTCGAATCCGGAGAACGGAGCTTGGATGCTTAGCCTTACAGCTATTACTCTCTCATCCTACGGAGCTTGATCCTTCCTCTCCTTCAAAATACGTTCAGCGTCCAAGACAACTTCCGCCGAGTTGGGATTCCGTAGGAACATTTCTTGGTGGTCTCCGAAAACGAATCCTCAGAGTACGAGAGGTACTCCGAAACTTCCACAGGATTTCCGAGGGAATCAAGCGCGTCTTTCGGGGGAAGCGAGAGGTCGAGAAGCGCTTGTTCAGGTCATGGAAATGGTTCTGAAGAACAAATACTTCGGACATTCGTCCCTCTGAGAGGAATCCCGCTGAGCAAACATCGATCCGATACAGGCAAAGGCTGTTGATTTGGTTGGAGACATGCGGAGATGCAGTTCAACGGCATAGAGGGACGGATTTTCTCCTTCGTCGAGACCACGGCATGAATCACTGTGATTCGTTCCTATGGCCTGCAGGGAGTCATGTACTCACTTACTCGCTCCTTGCTCACTCAGAGAGCGCTCATGAGGGAGTTCGATCTCTCGCCCATCATTCGAGGGGCTCTGTCGATTTTTCCCAATCACTTCATCGGTCGATCCGATCCAGCGGATGGTTAGCGCTCGATTTCCCGTTGATCGAGATGGATGATCTGGTCCATGAAAACAAGCAGAAATATCGATGATCCCTACCCTCGGGGGAGCTTCTCTGTGACTCTTTCTGCTGCTGCGAAGTCTCGAGGGAAACTCCATACCGCGGATTCCTCTCATTGACGGCTCCAAAACTCGATCTGGAGCTGCTTGAATATTCGAAGCCTTCACTCAATGAGCCCACGCAAGCTTGAACCCATGTTAGGTTGAGGTTATTCGACCTCCAGCGCCACGCAGGGGATGGAAAAAATCGTCTCTTGGCGCGGCCGAGACACCCAAAAGACGCCGGCTTCGAAACATAGTGAAGGAGCACCTTCCCAGTAGCGTAGCGAGGAGGGTGAGCGGTGGGGCGGTCCGCCCCGGGCATCACTGCTCCGGGGGCATCACAATGCTCGATGGAAGTCCCGGAAAACCACATTTTCCTCGAGGTTCGGTCCTTATGAATAATGAATGGAGACTTATATTGACTTCCATCGGTATCCGGATCGTGGGATGACAGATTCGGGAAATTTCCGAAAAAATCTGAGGGGATGGGGGCATCATATCGAGGTCAGGAATCCGCCCCGGGTATCACCGAGGCAGCCCCACGAATTCAGTTCACCGAATCCGGCCCCTTGCCACATCTTCTTCCGTTCACATCGACGGTGAACCAATGCTCGAGCTCTTCTTAAACGGGTATCTGGGGGAACCCGTCTCCAGGCTCGTATGGATTGGGGTATCGATCTGCCTCGGGTAGTTTTCGTAATCTGTAGGTGTCCTCCGACAGTGAATGGATTCTTGGCACCGACGAACCCAGAATGCAGATAATTCAGGCGTCTTTCGATAATTTGAGTACGGTCTTGAGTAAGTGCGTGGATAGGACACGAGTTTCCGGAGATCATCGTTGATGTGCTGAACTATTACGTCGTGGCTACCACATGAATGTTGACCTATCAATATCGGCTCGCTTATAGGGCCCACTTGTGAGACAAGCAGACGGCTGGGTTCCCGGTGCTTTCCCATTCACGATGATTCGGATCCCGCGGCCCTCCGATGTCATTCTTCACCCCCACGGGGGCATACTAGACTCTCACGCCACCCATGAGCCTCTAGCGGAAAGCACCTTCGAGGGGGTCGAGCTCGAAGGTCATCATGGAGATCTCTTCCAGATAAGAGGCGGGACTCGTCACCCGATATTCCTTAGCAAGTCCTGTGTGAGAGAGCCATCTGCGGGAACAAACTTAAGTTTGTCTGAAGGGATAAATAAGTCTCCGTGTCATTCACTATCATAATGTAAGAACTTTCGACGGATTTCATCTCATGCTCAGAACAAGCATAAAGGTTCTTCCTTCGGCCGTTCCGTCAGGCTCGCGGGAGAGGTACGGGAATGAGACCTCGGACAGGAGGAGGATTCGGTCATTCACTTTGCACGGAGAGCGAGTAGAATGCATGGTCATTCGCTTCAAGGCAACGGGGCTCTCGGTCAACTCTGAGGCTTACCTCGCAAGCACAAGGTTGTGGTCTGTGATGAACCTCGCAAGTTTTTTGATCGTCGTCCCGGCCTCAGATAGAGTCGGATGTCCCTGCCCCGAACAATCGTGAAGGCAAGCTCCTTCATTCGGAGATTCTAACGATCCGCAGAATTCAATGCCGTCGGAGATCTTCGATCTCAGTGAATGGGAAGATTCCGGATCACAGACAGCTCCAAGAACCGATCTCCGATAACGAGCGAGGTCAAAAACTCTCTCCGCTCTCTCGGAGCCTCGATTGTATACGAGGAAAGAGGAGGGCGGTGAGGATAATCATCCCGACGAGACCTAATGAACCGCCGGGAATCACATATTCCGCGAGCGCCTGCGGTAGCCTTGCCTGCCTGGATACGGATTCCCGCCTCTCCCGCGAGAGAAATCGACCTATCGGGAGGATCGATGGGGATTCCACCGAGAGGAAGCGATTGTGAGAATCCACGTCAGTGGGTAGACCTTGATGATGCCGAGCTTCGCTTGCCGGATCGGAGTTCACCTCTAAGATTCTGCAATCGGAGATATTGAGCCATGGTAGCTAGTCAGGGAGACCGCTGGGCCACCGAATATTCGTTTACCAGCATGGAAGCTGGGGCTGTAACGAGATACTCGCAAAGGAGGCGGTAGCCCCGGAAAATAACATCAGAACATCAGTGGGGGCGTTCCCTTGGTCCCATCAGGCTATATGAGAAGCTAGTTCGACCGGTATCGGTCTTTGATGCCGAAGCAATCGTGCCCGTGCATTGTGTCGAAGGCCGTAGAGGTTCTATGGAGCTAAGAAGGGAGAACCGAGGGTTGTTTTCGAAAAAAGGAAGGATCAAACTTTCATTATCGCCGTTTTTCAATGCTCTGCTTGATGGGGTTTATTCACCTCTTACAATCCACCATATGGAGGTATATCGGTTAAGCATGCTCACAGGCGACCCCTTTCGAGGGGATTGCCACAAGGTCAAGGTCTCCAAAAAAGTCCCAAGACAGATTCTTGTCTCGATTCAGCTCAGAGTCCCGAATGCTATATCATAACAAGTCGCAGAGTCTTTACGTGAGGCATCCCAGAATATCGATAGCAACGTGGTCCGAAAGTTCGGGTCTTTAGTGGTAAAATCAGGCTATATGTACACATATTCATCGAGTGAGAAAAGCACTGGATATCTATTCGGTCCGCTCATGAGTGGGTCCTCACATGATACTTTCTCCCTGGATGCGGCGCTCCCGCGGACTCGGGCCACCGAGACTCGGGGAATTGCGTCTGCTGTTCTTTCAATCTTTGCGACTCCCGAGAGCAGGCGACTTTGGAGTAGTAGCTCCCACCTCTCAATTCAAAACATCCGGGCCCTCAGGGCGTTTATTGAAGTTCATCGATCCTCTTGCCCGGTCCTCTTGCCCTCCTCTCGGAGTGTTATCGTTACGTGACGTGACGATCTGGGTCTCCGAACCCTGGCCGAGGTTGGCTGCGTCTGACTGCGTTTCAGATCGACCTTCTCGCAGAAAACCTCAAGTCAGTAAGAACTCGCGTGTATCCCGTCCCATCGGAGAACCATGCATGAGTCTCCGAACAATCCCGTGAAAAAATCTCACAATCAGAAGAGCCGCGTCGTCGAAAGGTCATCCGCGCGGCGCCATGTACGCGACTCGTTGACTCGTGATTCTGGAGTCAAAAGTGAAGCCGCGGAGCAATTCTCCCTCTCTCTTCCCTGAATCTCATGAGGGTGATTCATCCATCGATGTTTCTCCATTATGCTGCCATCTAATTGAGTGGGCCGATGTTTTCATTTCGCGCCGCAGAGCGCTGGCTGGAGAACTCGCACGAATCGTCTGCTCCTTGTTGATCATTTGGCTGCAGAAGCGACCGACGAATGCGAACAGATCGTCACACACTGCATCTCATTTCGTGTTGACTTCTGATGCTCTGAAGCTCCGTGGTGTCGCATAGGAGTGACAGCCCGTCCACTTCAGTGTATGATCGAAATATCACCTTCCCTGACAAAGCTGGGACCTTCGAACTGAGAGTGGGAGAGACCGGAGCAGAGCATCAGCTGAGCGAGCCCCGGTGGTCTGATTTAGCGTAAGACATCGGTTCCTGGAACAGCGAGTGAGTCTATCAGAAGCACTTGACTCTCCGAACTTAGTCCATCAGTATCGGCCTAATATCGTGAGTTTATCCGAGTTGTTTATTGGATTCCGGGGCAGGTTTCGGTATTCATCAGATCTCGTCAGACTATGCTATGTCGGACAGTGGAAACAAATACGTGTCGTTCCACTGGACCTGCGCCGGTCAAGAGACAGTTCCACCGGGGAAGTCAACAGCAAGACTTGATGTCCTAATTTTCGAGCGTGGCGTAATGCTGCTTGCCAATGTGGCGGAGATTTCGCTCCGCTTTCTTTGATTGGCCCGATCACGAACGAAGTTCCGGATGATGGACTACAGCTTTTCCCGAAATATTTTTCTCGCTGCTTTTGGTTGGCGATGCTGCTCTGATCCGACTTGGTGGAGGCGTCGACCCTTGTGCTCTTTTTCTGCTTCTGGCGCCGGTGCGTTCTGTTTAGGTCATGGGTGGAGACCGACGAGCGATAGGGAACCTCTAGGTATGATTGGATTTTCGGCCGATGTATCGGCATTGCCCCACGACGGCATCACAGTCAGCGCAGGGAGTCGCGCCTTCGTGTCAGAAAATCGCTCGCGCACGTCTCCGGAACTGTCCGTATGAAATTATCAGGCTTCCGGATCTTCTTTTCAGTTTCGAAATGATTGCATCAGATGGAGTGTGGTTCACGATTACATACGCGCTGCTCACCCTGTGCGTGATGGCGCCAACCGGCGAGATAATCGACTCGGGGCTCACGGTTTCGCGTATGCTGAAGGGATTCATCGTGGAAGAGCACACGGATTTCATCGCGCATCATCTGAGTTTGACGGCAGCGAACACCATCGTGCACTCGATCTTGCCACTGGGTTCGTTCGAATTTCTTCCCATCGTACGAAAGGAGCGCCGGATCTAGGAGAATTTCGCGTATGATCCGCGGTAGCTTCTCTCTAGCACAAATACAGTTCCTGACTGTCATGAAACTGTTCCAGGGTACGTGTTCGGCTTGGTCATTTTCGGAGGTGCTTCGCCGGAGACGCTGATACCTTTCAAAGGAAATCTCTGGCCGCTTTTATTGGTAGCGGTCGTGTTAGGAGGCTATGCGCTGAACAAAACCAGTCGTCATTATCTCTCCAAGTGGTCAACGCATCCCGTCGCCAAGGTAGGGAATAGATGTCGACTACTCTGCACGGGCTCGAGGTTTCGGCGAGCAAAACTTTATAAAAGTCAATTCTTGCGGCGAGAACGCAGTCCCTCTCTGAAACAAAATCTACGTAATTCGGGTTCGCTCAGACGCGATCTCTTGGAGCCGTTTCTCTTGGCTTTACCTTCTCCAGCGTGATTATTCTCTGAACGAAAATCTGTGGTATCAGGCTATCGGAGCGCTCAGGGAATCGGGCCCACTAGGCCTGCGAGATAAAGACGAGATAAGCTGGGTTCGAGCGGCTTCTTAAACAGAACATCTCGTTTCTGTACTTTTTCGATTGCTGTGATTTGAAGACGTCCCCGAGCGTCAGTTTCAACCACCTTCTACCTTCATGATTTTCGAGTTCAATCAAATTCTGAGGACATCGTTACTTTTTTCAGGTGTTGTCATTGTACACACTGGAATCTGACGATTCCTGGAGGCGAGTCGCGGAGCGTCTCAACGCAGAGTTCAGAGGACCAGATAAGTTCTCGACGGCTGGAGGGATCACTAGAACAATTGTTCTGCCGTCGTGGCTGATCCATCTGGAAACCTACGAAATGCATCTTATCCACATCGCTGACGCCAAGTTGAAGGTCATCGGAAGCGCGGAGCACTTGGTATCTCACCTAGATGCCTCAGGTGAGTCCCTCGTGTATGGCTCCTGGGCGAAATTGACGCCGTTGCTGTGAAACAACCGAAGAACTCGCTTTCCATTAGATCTGCCCGTATCCTCACGTTTTCCTTGAATCCCAGGTCTCCAGTGCTTGACGATACTGGTCGAAAGCAGACGGGAAAGAGTGCCTTCCTTCACGTTGCAGCTTAACTCGTCGGATTACGACGAGCTGCGTCAACGTCTTCCTCTCGAGAATAGCAAGAATATACCCATTCATAGAAACCTGAGCGATCGATTCATCGAGGCATTCAGAGCGAATGTCCGGCTGAATCCCACTCTTGAGTACGATGAGGTAGGTTGTGGAGCAGAGTTGACACTGCGAAAAAATCAGTGTTTTTCCCTCTAAAAATAGTTTATTGTTCGGATGATCCACCCGGATCAACAACACGTTATACTCGATATATACACGCAAAGCAATAAATCTCTTTAGGAGATCTTGGGAGGTGATGAGTCGAGTTCCAGATGTGGCCCTGTCCTGACACAGACAACATATTCCTGTCCATCTTGCCTTCCCAGACTCCCAAAATTCAGAATAGACATAACAAATCCGCCGCGGACCCATTGAGGGCGAAGTTTTTGCAGAAGAAGCCCCAAGTGCCCCGGGGGACGATTGCCGCGGTGATACAAGTGATTTTCCTGATCGCGATGATATCATACAGTTGAATGTCATTTTTCAGGAACTGGATTCCTGTATCGGCTGCATGCAAGCCCAGCCGGATGTCGTTCTTCGTAAATTGTGTGACAATGACAGTGAGGAGACGATACGAAGCACTCGTTGCGTTGGATGCCTGTGTCGCCCCCTATGGTGCTCATCGTGTCTAGCTCGTTGGTTTGCTTCGCGTCAAGACCCCGACGCACCTCACACATGGCTTCGCGGAAAATGCCCGTGTCCTACCTGTCGGTGAGTTCAATCAGCAGAAAGAGGAATGACAGGTATCTGGACCATTCTCGACCCCCGACCAATGTTTTCGATCGGAGACGGAGTAACTGAATTCGATTGAAAACAAACTGACGTTTTTGTGCTCTGCAGATCGACATTCTGTCTTCTCGACGTTCAGCCGCTCATCCTCCGAAAAACGCCGGGAACTTCGGCATCGTCGACTTGAAGTCTCAACTAGTCTCGTTGTAAATTGTAACTACTTGGTACTTGTATAGCGGATAATGTCTAATGTACACGCCGATTTCGTCCATCACTCCGCATAATCATGGAGCGGCTGATTAATCACATGTAAAGTATTCCTCTCGCCTGGATCTCCGCCATTATGTGAGCAATGTTCGATTGAGAGGATAACCCGGGGAAAAATATGCGCTCAAGCCCCGGTGGGGGACTTTCCCTCTGTGGACTTGATTCCTCACGTCGTCCCGGTCTAATCATCTTCCCAAGCGTCTTTCTTCTGTTGTTTTGCCAGTCGCCGTTTCTCTGTAAGAAAACAGACGCGATGATGCCTTCAGCTCTAGCGCAAGTCTCGGACTTCGCAGGGTCAGCAGCGTTGCACTTAGCATTGAGGTCGAGCTTCGTCCTTTATTTTTGTAAAATAAAAATCGTTTGAGGAGATTTCTCGCTCGTAGTCATTTGAGATTCTGGAAAAGTCGTACACGAGCGAAGGTGATCCCCGTCACAGTCTGACGAACTGATTGTTCCCATTGTTGTGGTGTCCCAATGTCCTTTCCCTCGAAACTCTGTTTTGCGAGAGAAACTCTTGTCGAGAAGCTGTTTTTGAGATCGGACTCACCTTTTGCTTCCTTGAGCTGCAGCTTCTCCTTCTCACGTTCTTCTTTACTGATCGGTATCCTGATGCCCAAGGCGCCCGAAACGAGCCTTTTCGCCGTGAGCGAGCTCGTCTGTGGGCGGGCTTTCGCCGGTAGTTGGACGATGTCTTTGGCTTTCAATTTAGACTGCTCAGAGGCTTTGCTGAAAGGTCTCCGTTTGATCATGCCATCCTGCGGGAAGCGAAGAAAGGCGTGAGATTAGATGGGCTAACATCGACTTGCCTTCACAAATATTACGGAACGAATAGTTTCAATCTTAGAATCGGCTCGAATTGAATCGAGCCTTAGTAATTTTTTTGACTGAGTATTTATATTATTGACCTTAGTATTTTGGAGTGCGTGTCTGGCTGCCGAAGACGTCGTGAACAAGGCTAGAGCGTGGTTGTCGTCCACCCAATGAATCTCCAGGTCTCGACCGGAGGACGCGAAAAAGGCGTTGAGGTCATGCGTGCGAAATTCCGTTGGGAAGTCGTATAGCTCCAGTATGTTCCCTCGTTCTGGGAGAATCGTATGTCAGCGCTACAGTCAGCTTGCTCGCAGCCATCGAACGTATTTAACTCATGACGTGGAGTCGACAAGGTGCTCACCGTCCTCATCTTTGATTTCATATTGTGCGTTGAGAGAGGGCGAAAACTCCAGATAGTTTATGACATTGGGTTTCACGATTTTGATTTTCCCGAGAGCCTTCTCGAGCTCTCGCATCGTCTCAGCATCCGCCGGATCTCCGTCATCATTAAACTTCTTGTCCCAGCTGCCGTCCTCGTCGTCCGTCGAAGACGACTTTCCGGTATCCGGGTCGTCGCCTCTGGAAGCCGAAATCTCGAGTAGGGACGGAAGCCAAGATCCACCGTCTCAAAAATCATCGATGAGCGAATCGACGGGAATGCTGACCGTGAGTTATTGGTGTCGTCTCCCTTGACGGTGGACGCCATCTGACTTGTCTTGGAGCCGTTCTGGAGCCTCCGGAGAGCAGGCGGTATGTATAGCTGTTGCGGCTGGCTTCGTTCCCGACCAAGATCGCTGCGTGAAGCGGGGAGCTACTTAATTTGTTTTTTCCGATTCTGCCTCCGTAGGCCGGACTCTTATCTGATATCATAGAACTAATTTCTGCAATCATCATCCTTGAATGTCTTCTTCTTAAATTCTGGGATTCTTATTCAATTCAACTCAATGATAAAGTAACTGTCTGCTCATTCTATCAAACCAATATATCTTGAATATCTTCGCCACAAGAATCCGGTCTTCAATACCTGTTACTCCCAATATCCGGCGGTGGCGTTTGGAGAATTTTCCGCGGGTTCTGGAGCTTGATCGGGGTCTTTGCTCTGGGTGAAGCCTCAGCGCCTCTGACGATATCACCGAATGCCTCGAGGACCGCTGTGTGCTTACAAGTTCCTGTCTCGATCGCCCTGGAATCCGAATGGGCCAATTACCTCTCCTTCTTCGAAGTTTCGAGTCCTGCAGCGTGTACATTCGATTTTGAGATGGTCTGCCGAACTCTAGTCATCAATCTAGAGATCTTACTGCGTCAAATCTTGCCGCCGACAAATGACCAGAACTCGTTTGTCTTGCTCGCCGATGGAGAAGGTTGTGAGGCGCCAGAACTTTTCCTCGACAATTTTGTGCACGATGAAGCGTCTAAAAGCTGGTAAATCCGGCAGAACTAATACGCTGTGAAACAAAAAATACCAGATTCAAGCGAACGAAGAACTATACATATATCGTAACGGAGAGGTATTCGTCAAGTGAATAGGATCGGACGATGAGTAATAGGACTCTCCGGACACCCTCGAAATGATACACACAGCAATAACTGTCCGAATATCCGTAAGGCTCACTCGCCCCGGACTTGGGCATAAACGGCAACATGCTTCGGAACGAGAGACGATAAGAAGATTCAGAAAGGATGTCCTGATGATTTATTCGTGTCCCCACCGAATGGAGCGTAGTGAACGCGTGAGTCCGATTCACCTTTTGTCATGACTGGGGCTCTTCAAAAAATTTTCGATGTCGTCCTCTATGACGTTGATGAAAGCCTGCTCTTCTAAAGTGAGGTATCTTCCTTGAATCGTCGCCACCTTGACGCTCTTGCAGCCCCCGAGCAGGCTGTTGGGAATCGGCTCTCACAACAACATCCAGCGTAGCTAGCCGCGTTGATGTATTGACACGACTTGTCGCGGCCTCCGCATGGACTCGGTCGAAGATGCCACTGTCAGCGGTGAGAAATCGGATGATTCGAGAAGAATAGCCGTGCTCGCATTGTGTGAATGGAACGGTTCTTCAGCTGTTAGAAGAAAGCAGACCACATGCGCGAAGACAACAAGAAACAAAAAAACGAAACCACTGAGGAGCAGTCTTGCGCGGCGCCTGTTTCAAAATCGGGAGGTCACGCGGGATCCCCCTATATATAATCGGCTTAGCGTCTGTCTGTAGACAAAATTTGCCACCGATTCTTACCGTAACTGCAGCATACCTAGAATACCTTCGCTCATCACCAATAAGCGTACCCCCAGCTCCAAATTCATCCTGCAAGCGGAAATAAATGGCTTTCGAAGCGGATCTACTTGACCTGCCGCTGCACCGCCGCCGCGGCCGTGCTGCGGCCACTGGACTCGGCGCTCGCCGCTGCGCCCGTTCTGCGCTCGCAGCCGCGGCCGTCCTGCGCCCTTTCTGCGCTCGCCGCAGCGGCCATCCTGCGCCCGTTCTGCGGTCGCAGCCCAGAAGAGGAATTATTAGTCCTCGAGTTAGCTTGAAGGTTTCTCCGTACGGGAGCTCTTATACCCTCACGGAGCCGCCTTCGATGCGATAATATAGCCGTAAACATTTTCTGTTTTACATTTTGCATTCGCTTTCTCAGTCGTTGGATCCGTTGTCGTTATTGAATTCGTCGACGCTTCTTCCTTTTCTCCTTTTCAATATCCGTTGTTCGATCCGTTGTCGTCATTGAAGTAGTCGACTAGCCTTATGCTGCTGTGATCAAGGTCTTTCTCAATGCCACGCCGTAAGACACCTGACAGGGAAGATTACGATCCGACGACTGAGAGGAAGCTTCAGAAGGTGGCATGCGCGAGAACCCGCCTAGGAAGAGAAACAGTCGAGCACAGGCAGGTACGTCTTACCGCAGATGGTATTTCGCATGCTGCGAAGAGAGCATGTGAAAATTCCGTTACAAGAGCAGAGCGCCTCATGACTCATGTGGTACTTAGGTAGGTACGCTGTGTCCGATTGTGCTTCGAAAGGCACAAATTTCTCTTTGTTCGAATTTGGTCATCGCTGATGGGGATATATATGACTCGCTGATGGTGACATATATGACATTTTCCCAACTCAATCCAATATTTATATCGACGGAGCGCTTGCGCTTCTATTTTATAGGGTGGAGGGTGAATTTCCCGACTCAAATCCTGAGTCTCCGTAGGATGAGCTCACAAATGATGCTGGAACGCAAGCCGAAAAGACGGCCGGCTCCAGCCGGCCGGAGGCCGGCTGGTACATTCTATATTCTCCATTATTAATTCCCCCGATTCAGATTAGTGAGCCCTATAGTGGGGTGTGGGCTTCATTTTGGCACCAGGGGGGGGGGCAAGCAAGACTACCAGGGGACAGAACGGAAAGGCTCTGAAAACAATTGTGGACGATGAGCTCATTCTCCGATTCTCCGCAGAACACTGGGGAAAAACTTATGCGCGGAGCATGCCGCATGAGCTGCTGCAACAAGATGTTCCGCGAGTTCCCCTGGACTCATTAGAGCACGAATATTGTTTTCGGCGTCTACTCGAGAAGGGGAAACCGCTGAGTGTTGAAATTCAACTTTATTTATTCACATGACTATGCACATAATTATATTACAAGGTTTCTACAAGTCGCTCGACGATTGCCATCAGCAAGTCCGAAAAGCAGCACAAATCGTTTCCGCAAATCGCTCGGATACATTGCAGATGCTTCCGATCTCAGCAGCGGAGCTGTAAGGGAATTAGGAGGTATGGTAACGAGGAGAAACGCTCACAGCTGTGGGGAGATATTGGAGAATCCGTTCCACGGGACCACCTAAGACGATGATCACTTAGAGCTCGAAATTTCTCGTCGATCCCTTCCAGAGTCCTTACCTTGTCTGGATGACGCTTCGAGCCTTTCCCTGTTTCACCCTCAGGAGAGCCGTCGCCGTCAGAATATTCAGCTGAGGCAGTCTCAAGAGGCGTTGTAATTCTTCCGATTCGAGGTACTCGATCAAGTACTCGTTTCCCTGTAGATCTCTCACTATGCATTTGAGCAACATGAGTAACTCCACTGATGACAGGAGCGAGGAGAGATGGAAAAGAGCCAAACGTGAGACCGAGACGAACAAAGCGACGGTTTTGAGCGCACGTATCGAGAATGCTGAATGAATATGTACCTTGATTTTTGACGTAAAATGTCCTTATGTCGATCTCGGATATTCCGATGATTGCCTTGAAGAGCTGCTCTGGGTCTGAGTGATTCTGCGAGGGAGCGACCACGAGGAGCACGGGTTTCTCACACAGCAACCTGAACCGATTGATTTTTTTCCGAGTCTGGGATTTAAAGACCTCATTTTAGCTTTGGGTCGAGGCGGAAATTAAATTCCGATGTCAATCGATTCGATTACGCACCTCGGCTGCTCCTGAACGTAATTGGTCGAGAGACATGACTTTGATGCACAGATCTCCAAGGTAGAGATCCACCGGATGATTCTCCAGAGCACTCATGTCGACCGGTTCGATGTGAGACTTATCGAAGGTGCGCTGTAGACCAACAAGGATTTCCTGCAGAACAAGGCAAACGGTGTCTGAGAATTCCATAGAACCCGGTAGATTGCGACGTAACGATTACAGCAGGAATCTTGAATGACCGCGAATCCACGTCGACATGGATCCACAAGCTTCAATGCTCTCAGCTCACCGGTAGGATCTCTAGTAGGTAGGTGTTGACAAGTATCACATTTTTCGGAGGGATCTTGCGATCATTCAACTTCAATCCCGAAGTAGAACTGCTCGCGACATCAGCCCGCGCCCCGAAACTTCGCTGGGAGGACTTTCGAGGACTCGATGCACCGGGCTTTGCTTCTCCGCCGCTGACCCGATCACTGTCTGAACTATCGTCGCAAATGAATGCTTTTCGGCGACCCTTTCTCTTTTTATGCTGTGTTTCTGGCGGAGCTTGCATCACGGTTATTTCGGCGGGGAGGGTGACCCTGTAGGATACGAAATTTCTCACAGTGAATTATAGTGGAATTCGGACGGCGATCCAAATCGAAGCTCGAGCTCCGTCTCAGACCAGGCGTCGGAGCAGTTTGATGAAATCGCGATCTAGCGCACACTCACTCAGCGACCGATCCATGCTCGACGAACGAGTCGTCTCCGTACGAGTCATCGTCCGACGGAGGCATCTGGGAGAAGCAATCTTCGTAGGGTACGTGCTTGACCGGTCTTCGGAAATTCTTGATCGGCGATAGATCCTTATCCAAGCGGCGGTACATGCCTGGGAAACGGAGATTCGTTCCTCAGAAGAGATCCCAAGGGCTTTCAGCAGCCCAGATGATTCGGACGCTCCATGTCGGAGCCGTCGGATCGGAACTCACCTTGAGAGTGCGCTATACCCTCTCCGTCATCGACGAACGAGTTCATCTCGTAAGCATCGGGCTGGTCGTCCTCATCTTCGCTCACCGAATCGATGCTGTCAACTTCAGCTTCGTCATCGAAATACCCTTTCGTTGCTGCTTTCTTCACGGTTGGCTTCTTAGCTTCAAGCTGAGCGATGAAACCCTTGGGAGACGGGAGACGATATCCTATTATTGTGTAACTTATGGCAAGTAGAGATGACCATGAGTGCACGGATATCAAGAAGGAGGTTGTGCTCCAAACAAATTGGACTGTGGAATCACTCACTTGCGAAAAACTTCCCCCCAGACTCGCAAACGGATTCTTCCTCCGCCGCTGTATGTGCAATGATTCCTCGTCGCTGCTCGCTGAAGCGACTCGCGACCTCTTCCTCGTTTCGGCTGAGGACCCCTTGGATTTGCACGAGGGATTCCTACCATCCATCGGTGCAGCCCGGGCATTATCTCGCGTCACTTCTTTCTGAGATCTGGAACGGCCAATGACGGTTTCGACTCCTTCCTCGTTTCTCCGGAGCTGAGGTTCGCTGAACGACGTCTTCAGAGATTCAGGGGAGCTCTCGCCTTTCGCCTTAATTCTACCGTTTTCAGCGATAGCTCGGAGCTTCTGTTTCCTGAATCCCTTGTTTTTCGGTGAGGTCGGTCTTTGACTACTGGAAACCACTTCGTCGCTCCGAGGGGGTCGCTTATCGCCGGCTTTTTTCGATGACTGCTCGTCGGCTTTTTTGAGGAGTTTTTGTAGGACATCATCCTGTGATTCTGTCTCTTTTTTGGGCAAGAGTAGTTCCTCGACGCAGTCGAATAGGTCATCGGAGTTTTCCTCCGCTTCCGACGTGCGCTCACTCCCCTTTTGGAACTCGATCGGTAGGATGTTCCCCACGGTCTCAGGCTCTGTGATCTCGGGGCTCTCAACTATCTCTTTGCTCCTCGTTGGGATGTTGTTGATGATGTTGAGGACAGCAGTGTGCGCCGAGTGACAATCCTTATTATCTGCTGGGTCGTCCAGGGCATCGAAAACAGATCGGATCTTGGGCTTCGGTTCGGGCTTGACAGCTCTTACGTCTATCGATGGTTCTCTGATCGGAGGCTTTCCTGTCGGCTTATCAGCATCTACGAGGATGTGCTCCCGAGCGTTCCGAATAGAATTCGTTAAATTCCCTCCGTCGGCATCGATTCCGTCATCGTGGGCTTCTTGGAGCTTCATTGTGACGTCGATATCGTCAAAGAGATCGTCGTCGTCCTCAGTGACATCGTTTCCAATAAGATTGTTCGTACGGTTCCGATCGGACGCGTCCAGACTCAGTGTGGTTCTGCGAGCTTCGAGCAGACCTTGTTCTCGACTGAGAAAGTCCGGCTCGAGCTCCTTCCGACCGTCGACGGGCGGCGTGGATGACTCTGTCTGGGGATTTCTGATGGCACCAAGGGCGTCTCCATCGACGGCTGGAAAATCATCTGCGATTGCCATGGGTTTTTCCTCCGTGGTAGACGGCGGGCTCAATTCACGGTAGGGCAGCGGCCCCGGTAGATGGGAAGCGCCATCTTGGATCTCCGATTTGGAAGATTTATCACTAGTCTCGACGATATCACTGAGCTCGGTCGGCTGATTGAGTTTGTTTGAGAAGAAATATTGCAGGTTCTTCTGTTTCTTCCGCTTCTGTACAACTTTGACTAAGGCAGTCAAACTGAGTCTCGATTCGGCATTCGGATCAGGATCTGCTTCCCGGACCGAATCGCGGAGGTGAGAACTCGGCGTCATCGGATCCTTTTTCGTGATCGGGGTCAACTTGAAATCCGCTCGTGGGGCACGGTAGCCGAGAGGTGTCGAAGCTGTCGGTAAACAACCCGTCACAGACAATGGACTAGAGTCAGTCCTCCGAGCTAGCGTACGGTTACCCATTTCGGGGGTCCTGAACGCTCGATCGGGTTTGGGTTTTGGCGTTCCTAGTTGGGAAGGGAGCGATTTTTCAGGCGAGATTCCTCGTAGAGGGACTTCATCGTCCGCGGAGCTTCGTTGATCGGAAACCCTACGCCTAACTTCGACGAAGCCGAGTTGAGCCAGATAATCGGTGATTTTTTCGGCGCTATCGAGAACATATCGATCCATTTCCGGCGTTATTGCAAGGAAGGCCATGTCTTCAGTATCGAGGGTGTCGAGCTCTCCTTCCTGGAAAATCAGGAGACCTCTATTAGGCAGCCCTCGAAACCCCGTCGCTCCTCCGGACTCGGAATGAGGAATCCTAGAACGCGAATGTCTGCCTCACTGACTCACATCAATTAGAATAGGCTTGCTCTCCGATGCCTCAACGGGCATTTCATGAACGTCCTCAGCACGAAAATGGGTGGCGAGTTCTCTCTCGTGGTTGTCCAGGCGGCTCCCATCCGGTGTCGATGATCTGTAATAAGTCCTGTTCACTCGCGATATTCTTCCGAATACTTGTCCGACCGAATTATGCATTCGTTCGATGCCGACTTACATTTCATCACAAAACTTGAAGACATCCACCAGAACCTGACTGTCCGTAGAATGGCCGACTTGGTAAGTGTCCTGCAGGCGGCTCTGCCACGGTCGCCACTTCGACACCGAAAGTTGGACAGAGTACGTCGCTTGCGACTTTGGAGGTGGATCGAATCCTGTGGATAGCGGTTGTTCAGGGAGGGCAGAAAGAAATCCCGAATTCTACCGACGGGGAGCGCGAATTTTCCCAGTACCCCATCACCAAGATGAAGCTCCCTGTCACTCACCATTCGAAGGCAGGGTGATCTTTGTCGAGCTTTTGAAATGGCGGTCGAAATAAGCTTGTTCCTCTTTGGTCAAGAAGGCTTTCCGTCCCCGAGAAGCTTGATTTGCGAGACCGCGTTTCAACGTCGCGGGTGGTTTCCGCGGAGAGGCGGCTAACACCTCTCTGCCATCGAAAGACTAGAATTCATTCGAGCGTTACATGGAAGTCCCCGTTCCGTATCTCCGTCGGGACATACGAACATCGGGGAAGTGTGTACAACAAGACCGACGTGTACAACCTTGTTCTCCACATCAGTCACCAGCATGATGATTGATCCTTGCCAATACGGAGGCTTCCGGAAAACGTCTTTTCGGACGTCGAGACAAATGGCGAGGCTGATTCCGTTGAGGGATATGTTCTGACCATTTAAACTCTCCGGGCTCGTGATAACCTGCAATTGAGAAGGGAGAAATGCTATATGGGAGGCTACAGCTTCTCAGATTCTTTCCGCCGGTGGTCGGCGAGCCCTTGGGTCGAAAGAAGTCTATGATGCAAAGAATCAGCCCATGTACACTTGCCGGGCAGAAATCCGAGTCCGGAGGGACGGATGTACCCACCACTAAACAGTTATCGCGAGACTCGACGAAGTTCTTGAGAACAGTCTTTGAGAACCTCGAGGTGTCGTATACATATGATGTGAGCAACGCTGACAGTGATGCCAACATCTTATTGACTTCCTCGCACATGGCGACTGTCGGTACAGCGATGAGTATCCTAGAAACTAGAGAATGGAGGTCCAAAGTCATCTCATCGATAGGAATTTTGGGGGCTCTTGCTATTTCGAGGATATTCTTTTCCCATTTGGAAAAAAAATCGAATTTCCACGATCGGATTACACTTACCTGTCACCGTTTGGCGGACATGCTTCTCGACGATATCAGCTAGCTTCAAGATCTTACTCTGAGTAGTTGAATCATTGAGGGCGTTCTTAGTTGCTTCCATCCTCGACAGCTCATATCGAAGACTTGCGTATCTCTCATTCTGCATGAGCTCGAAACGCAGCTCCGGCTTGGTTTGGTCTCCTTCGACGACATCTGATGAATTGGAAAATAGATAAATCGAAGAAGGTCCAGCTCCGCCACGGCGGGAGGGGAACGAAAGCAGAGACACAACTAACGATTTTCCGCTTCCGATTTAGCGAGCCGTCAGTGAGAACCTCCGACGAGAAACAGATCAGCCTTCTGCTCCGAACTTCGTCCCCTGAGCGTGGATTGTAATCGAGAGATCCACGAGGATGAGGTCCGGGCATAATTGCCCATTTTGTCAGAATCTCGCACGTTCTACTCCATCGTCCGTCAGGGAGGCGGGAGAGACTTCTCCCGAAACTCACCACTCAGAAATTTGACAGCGACAGTGCTGCCCTGTAGTTCGAAGAGTTCGAGAGCCCGGTAGAGCACTTGGAGAACTTCCAGCTGTAGACGACTAAGTCTCAAATCGGTGTCACTCAGATCCGCTGCGAGGTCTTCCTCGAAAGACTCTCTGAGCCGGGTCAGGTTCCGAGTTGTCAAGGTAGTCGGATTACATCGAGCTATCGCTCCTAGTCGAGAGAGAGAATCGATATACGGCGCGATCACCTGCAATGGTATTGACCGCTTCAGAGCACACACGTTTTAAGCAAAGAACCACAATGCGATTGGAGCATTTCATTCCAGGCATAACAAATGCTTTCCCGCATTATGAAATCCGAGGATCCGCAGATTTTGTACCTTGTAAAAATGGTTCTTTGCATCCAACTCGGCTGTACCACGGCAGACCACTTTCAGAATTTTCGGGGTCGGCATCTCCTATAGTAGTCTCATTCGGAAGCGTTTCTCATCCATCGTCACGTCAGAAAACTCTGCGTAGCCTGGTTTTCGAACGATCACTTGCTCGCTACTAGACGTCTTCGCGCTGTTTTCACGAAGTACAAAAATAATCACAATTCAGCAGACGACTCGTGGGAAAGAGAGTCCCAGAGAAAAAGGCTGGGGAGTTCTCCGCGCGAATTTAAAAAATATACGGAGCTCTCTCTGAATCACAAGACGGCTCGACGATCGCGGGAACTATTGTAAAAGAACGTTGAGCTTCATTTTCACGATCGCCCGAGTGCGATCGGGACGAGCACGGTTTCACTGTGACTCCGAATTTGAGCCGGCCGAACCAGATGCTCGTGGATGCTTTTCTGCTCTTCTGAGATTTCTCGCAATCGACCGGCTCGATTTGGGATAATGCCTAACACATAGGGGTAGTCGAGGGCGGGAAGGGCTCACGATCAGCATACGATGGGGAACACATGAGCGAATTTCACCAACTTCACATGTATCCGGGATGAGCTTTTCCGCTTTCGTCTGATCCAGGGGACAGATGGCTCCCAGTCGTATGGAGATCGGATTCCGCCTTCCGACAGGAACACCCACACGCACGCTGGGGTCTTCAGAGCGCCGGACGAGTGTAGGTGTGGTCGCTTAGATGAGGTAGATTAGCCGTATTGGCGTAGTCGTGGTCTAGCCGCAAGAGCGAGTACACCTGCGGAGTCCTCACAGCAGCCGTCTGACGCCGCGCGGTACGCAGCTGGCGACCCGGTACGATTTGGCTCGCAGTTTCGATCGGCAGTCTGGAAAAAAGATTTCCGTCATCGTTCGATCATCGAACCGCTGATCGTCGTACCTACGGAAGCGAAGAGCCGAGCTCAGTCGAGTTCCGGTACCTGCGCCTCTCGTTCAGGACCGCGTTCATCAGCGAAACTCGAGGATTCTCTTTCAGAGCTCGCAGCCAGTTGCCCCTGGCCGTCCGGACGTCGTGGCCGTGACCGTCGAACTCCGGAGGATGATTATGCGCGCCCCTCAGCCTCACGATCTCGCCTGTCATTTTGATCTTTCCCCGAACCGGGCAACGAACGCCTTCCCTGAGAATATACACAAGATATATTTCTTCTGAATCCACTCGATTATTTCGTCGAGCGTCCTGACACACCATACGTCATTCACGAGAGCTGTTACGCGATGTGACGTGCCGCGGGAAACTCACGTTCGAGCTTTCTTGCACCTTATGTACAGTTGGGCCCCGCTCTTGGACATTTGATGGAAGAAAAATTCCGATCGACTCTCCTCAGTGTTCACTGCATATCGACCGGCCCTGTCACACCAAACACGTTTGCCGAAGCGAGCGCTATCGCAAAGAACTAGAAATTCTCCAGCGCGCTCCATTCCTCAGATACATCGATCGAACTGGGGTTCGTACTGCGCAACTCCTCAAAAAGAATCCCGCGACTTCAGAAGACTCTCTATCCTCATATCCGGCCGTATCGTACGGCGTCTCGCGACTTTGAAGCGAAATTTCCCGTGAGTTCAGACATGCTCACAGGTGATGCTCTCTAATGCAACGGCTGTAGCTCTGGGACTTGGCCACTGCACCTAGAAAACATGGCGGACGTGACTGCGGGAAGGAGGAGAGGACTTCGGGCAGAGGGTCGGTCATCAGGGAGGAGCGCGGATATTTTCGAAAGCTTAGCGCGCATCATGGATTTCCGTATACCAAGGGAAGTGCGCTCATTCCATTCGACGATTCACTTGATCCTGTTCAGGGGAAGGTTCCCACTGCTGCCGCTCACTCGGGAGTCTCCCATATCGAGAGAGCTGAAGAGAATGAAAGCCGATCGGTGAGAGCTGGGAATGATATACTGATCAATGCCTGTGATCGGACTCGTGATTGCCGATTCTCGACCATGTTCTCCGCAGAAGCATAATTCGAGAAACGGTAGTAGAGATTTGGGAAAGATCCGAATAGCTGTCGACTCAGCTTCTGAGCGACTCCGAGCTGAGCACGGACTTATCACGGCGTTCCTGGTCGGAACTTCTCACGTGGTGTTGTTTACATACCCGTTGTTCTCGGCGAGGAACACACGTTCCATCGGAGTTCGAACGAAGGGACAGTCAGAGTGGACGGTGAGGAATTCGTTCGGAAATTGTGCCGGCCAAGTCGAGTTCTAGGTACCTGAAATCATTCTTCGAATCTGGGCTCTTGCTCCGTCCCGATGTGATTCCTAAAGGGATATGACAGCTTGGCCGGATCTGGCTGAGAGAGCTATGTCCTGCGTGGTGACCGAGTGCAGCCTCACAGCCACGGATTTTTTGTCCTGAATGACAGCGCAATGTCTGTATTCGTTCCAGTGACCATGGCAGATCTATTCGAGGGATGCAGCGATGACGAGGTCACATTGAAAGTGGATAACTCGTACGCAAAGAATTACGATGCTTGGCGCCGAAAAGAAGAGCTTTCGAAGGCCAAAGCTCGTTACGGGAGCGATCTCGAAGGCTCGAGTAGTGACGATGAGGAAGAAGACGATGAAGCCAGGTGTGTTCTCTGACCCTCCGGAATGTTCGTGATATCCGTTTCTACTTTTTGAATCTATCCTCTCATCCTCGCATCCTTGTCGGAGTTTCACCCCGGGAGAATTCAATCCGTGCATTTTCAGTCAATGGACATCGGAGCACGAGAAGAAGTTCTTGAAAACTCTCAGCGCCATCAAAGCTCGAGACCCGAAAATCTACAATAAGGATGAGGTCATTTTTCCGGAAGTGTCGACGAGTCAGCCCAAGAGCGCTGACAAGTCCGTCGAGACACCGAAGATGACGCTGAAAGACTACGAGCGTCAGATCATGACTTCTGAGGGTGAGTCTGATCGTCAATCATTCGTTTCTCTTCTAAGCATGGTTCGCTAGTCAAGTCAGCCCCTCGCTCGAAAATCCAGGACGGAGGTCTTGGGGAGTATCTCTATCGTCCCAGGGAAATAACGCGTTTAATGCTCGCTCCCGACAGGTGGTCGTTACGCTGATGAAGATGAAGACGAGCAACGTAGGAGGGACTTATTCGAGGAAACGCACCAAGACAGGCTGGCGTACGACGCAGAGCAGCGAGAAATTCGTGAAAGTTTGAAGAAGGCTGCTTGGGGCACGGCGGGTGATACCGATGCTCAGGAGGATGATCAGGACGACGACGACGGAGTTCTGCTGGCGAAGAGAGAGTCCAAAAGCGAGCAAGAACAAGCTAAGGACGATGAGGAGTATGTGAAATGGCTGAAGGGTGAGTCAGCGTCCGTGTTCCATCAGACGACGTTCCCCGTGCTCCATAATGCACCGACTTCCAGTGAACGGCTGTCCCCCGACGCGGATCCGAGTATTTCAATATCACCAATTCCCCCGCAGGAGAAACACAGAGACTCTCTAATAAGAAAGACGCGAAGGACCTAGCCACTTTGAAACAATTATGGTCCGCGGAAGGTGACGGGAAACTCGACGATGCCGAAAAGTTCCTCCGGGATTACGTGCTCAACAAAAAGTACCTCACGGCCAGCGAAGCAGACTGCCGTTTCGAAGTTGACTTCAGCGATGATGAGAAAGACCTTGCCGCTTCGACGCAATTCGAACAGAAGTACAACTTCCGGTTCGAGGATCCTGATCCGGAGTTCATCAAACGCTACCCTAGAACGATAGAAGACTCCATGCGCCGAAGAGATACCCGACGTGTCGATAAGAAGGCCGAGAAGAAAGCGAGGAAGGAACAGCTCAAAATTCAGATGAGAGAGGAAGTCAACCGTCTGAAGAGTTTCAAGAAGAAAGAGATTGTGGAGAAAATCGAGAAACTGAAGAGCATAGCCGGTAGCGGGGATGTTGCCTTCAACGACGCTGACCTCGAAGGTGAGTTTTTGATTCAATCGCTTTACCCCCCTTCCCCCGAGCTCGGCTCAGTGCACTGGAATGGTCCCTCGGGGAGCGCTTAGAGCATTTGGATGATAATATTTACCACTGCTCCTCCGCAGATGATTTTGATCCTGACGAGCACGACAAACGCATGGCGGCACTATTCTCTGGATACGACAACGAGGCAGGGGAGGAAGATTACCCAGAACTCGGCGAGAACGAGCACGAGGACCTCCGGTGGGACAATTGGGACGATTACGAAGCTGGGGAGGGAAGCCCCGCCGGAGAAAAGGAATCTCACCGTGAGACCCAAGCATCGAAAGAGAAGACTTCCGGGGACAGTGAAGAATCGGCAGAGGTAAGCATCTGACCTTCTCCGTTCTTCGAGACGCGATGCCCGGAACGGTTGCTCGTGAGCTGTGCTCATCAACCTGGACCCTCTTCCTTTTTAGGATTCAGCTCCGGGGGAGGACCTTAACAATGAATTCGAAGATGAATCGCATGAGGTACCTGAAGCGAGCCAAGCCTCGAAAGAAACAGACATTAGGGACTTGGATCCAGACACGCATGGTGACGGAATCGAGCGGAACGAGTCCGGTTAGTTGGCCTTCATCGCTTCCGCAGGAACTCCCCTCAGAGTGGGCTATCTCGTCGGTTGTAATGTCGTAAAATTTCCCGTATAGGCGGGAAAATGGGAACGTCTTAATTATTAAAGCTTAAAAATTTCGTTTCTTGATCAGGCAAGCTTCTGGTTAGGGGCAAGAAATCGGCAAAGCTCGTGTTGGAAGACCTCCTCCCGACAAAAACTGAACGAAAGCGTAAGAAGTCAAAATTCGCAGAGGTGAGGGCATGTGCGGTTGATACGAATGACGCTACATCTCGCGGATTGGTGTATTCTCTCATGGCGGTCTTCGTGTTGCGATCGTGGGCTGACTCTGTAGCGGATCAGGAAGATGAGAAGGATCAAAGATTCGCCCATGGCATCATATTCAATACTTATATTATCATCATATTTATTACTTCTATAGGCTCTGTCCAAGCATAAACCGACCTTCGATCCGACGAAAGACGAATCCTTCGAGAAATATTTCAACGAGTATTACAAGTTGGACTTTGAAGATGTCGTGGCTGGCGTACCTACGAGATTCAAATATCGTCAAGTGAGTACGGTCCGGAGGTTTTTCGGGTCGAATTGGACTCATGGAGATACATTCGTCTAAAACTCCCCGTAACTAAAATTTCTCATATGCATTTTGAACAAGGTCATACCGAACGATTTCGGTTTATCCACCGAGGAAGTCCTCCAGTCCAAGGATAAAGAGTTGAACAAGTGGTGCTCCCTGAAAAAAATGGTGCAATACCGCTCGAAAGATGAGGAAGACAAAGATCTGCAGGTGTTCTCGAAGCGACGAGACCATCTGCATCTGAAAAAGAAAATACTTACCTCTGTAAGTAAAAAGCTGTACATTGCATTTTTCATCGGCCCATTGCTCTAGTTCCCGATCTAGGGAGAACGAGGTGTGATTCGATTATGCTCTTTTTTGCAGGCTTATGCCCCTGAGGAGGAGAAGGTGGACGAAGAAGTCAGGATAGCAGCTGGACGTGACGCAGACGAACCTGTCAAGAAATCGAAATCCAGAAAGAATAAAAAGAAGAAGACAAGCGTCGAACAAGTCGTCGATGGTATTGAAGAGCCCGACAAGCTGGCGGCAGCTGGTGCTCCGGAGGACGTCGCTCCGCGCCCGGAGAGAGCGAGGAAGCGGAAGTCCAACTCTATCGATCCGCTCTCAGAGGCAAACAAGAAGAAAAAGAAGCGAACGTCTCAAGCTTCCAGAGGAGCTCTCGTCCCATCCGACCAGGGAACCACCGCCGGGGCATCGAGAAATACTGACGAGAATGAGCAACAATCCGAAGTGATGCAACAGGAAGCCGCGGTCAAATCTTCAGATGCGAACGAAGCGACGGATAGCACACCTTGGGACCAGTTAACCCCGAAGCAGAAAAAGAATAGACGGAATGCAATGATCAAGAAACGCAAGAAGATGGAACTAAAGCAGAAGAAATCCGAAAGTGTCAAATCGAGGAAGTTGAAATTCAAACCACTCGAAGATCTCCAGATTAGCGATGCCAGGATGAAAGCATACGGTCTTAATCCCAAACGAATCAAGGGCGATCTCGTATACGGCCACCAAAAAAGCAAGAAACTATCGTAGTTCGACCCGTCTCTCGATCTTCGATCATGTAAATACGGAAAGTGGTGATTTGTGAATAAAGTAAGAAAGGTGAGAATCGACCTGATGCTCGAGTCCTCCGCTCATTCGATGGGAAATTCTTCACGGTTGGTCACAGGCTCCTCGTCAGCGAGGGGTCTCCCGTTTATTTGTGGAATTCGATCAAATGGCCAAAGTGCCCTTCCGAATCCGCGAGGCTTTTCTTTGCAAAAAAACTCTAACGGCCATCCACTCGACGGCTAGCGGGGCGCTAGAACAGTCCCACCTGTCAAGAACTTACTTCTTTCCCCGAAGCTGATCATCCCGCTCTTGACTCCGCACGGGATCATCTGGCCCGGATGGAATCAACTGGTCTCATCGGTAATAATTCTAATCACTAGAGGGGCGCTAATCAGTAGACCCGAATTCGTGTAGTTGTACTGAATGAAAGAGTCAACTCCACAGCGTTGTAATCTGCCGTTGGAACAGTTACGATCAGCGGCTGACACTGCACCGTTCGCTCTGCGCGCTCCTGGGGAAAGCGTCGATTCGGCACATCACGTTCTCTCTCGGTGTTTCAGAGCTAATGGAGGAAATCCATGATTTACCCCACGATCCTGTGTTCGACTATTCCGCCCCGAGTGCGCCTACGTCAGAGAGAGAGCTCAGCATGTTGGACGGAATCCACAGTTCCGAACAAGCATTCCACAGACATTGGGGAGGTATACCGAGAAGACGTCTCAGGGGAGAATCGACTCTCGGCCAGCTCTCCCTGATATCGGTGGACTCGCAACGAACCATGCAGAGGAGATTCAATGAGACGATGCAAAACTTCCCTGTCCCCCTGACCTGCTTATTTCGATGCAGGTAGAGCTGTTCTGTGCATATCCCGAATGGCTGAATGGAAATAATTGAGGATTTTTACAATAAAGGTGAGAGCGTGTGCTATACATATTTCCAGGAGTACCATATGCGCTTTCATGGCTTCCTTAGCACAAGCTTTGTGAGGTGTAGCCGTCGGTCACCCGTTGTGTGTAGGCAATTGTTCCGTTTTCAAAAGAGAGGCGATTAAATATGTACCAAGCGCCTCGATTTAGGTCATCCAGGCCCCGATTCCGAAGGCCTCAAGTCTTTATCAGCGATCGGAATTGATACTCGTTTCAGCGCGGGTTCTCTCGCGCTAGAGCAGATTCAGAGCAGAATAATTCCCAGGAAAATCGTTAATTCTGTCCGTCTCCGATCTGGGCGTCAGTTCAGGTCAAAGGAACGGCGAAAAAGCTAATTTCATTCGTACTAGGAAAGGGCAGAAAATATTTCAAGCCCTTCGATGTCGATCCCCCGTAGAGGGGCTCATGTCCGAGGTCACAAACTCTTTGGCTCTCAATTAGGCCGAATGTCGTTTGTCCTCGGCTTGGCTCTTCCTTTGTGGACGGCTCACCGTCTTAGCCTGCTCCATAATGCGTGGGATCAGGCCGGGCCTCTTGCTGAGGAGATAGACGTAGGCTCCCAGATTCTTCGATTTTTCCTCAGGAATAGCTCCGACTCATCATTCAGGCGTAGAGATATGAGGAAGACGTGAGCGTGGACTGCAAAAAACCCATACGGCAGAAAGTCGAACCGCTTCACCTTTGTTGAGTTTCTACCAGGCGTTTTGTTGGCCTGCTGGGTGTCCTGGCAACGCGAGAGCGCTCCCCTCCTCCGACCCTTCGTCAGGTCCTACACGACCTTACCCGGAAGCAAGCCAGTGCTTCATCCTCTCGCGGTTGACTATCTTGTTGTGTCTTATGGGTTTGTTCCCGTCGGAATCGACCACTCATAGTGACGAAACTCAAACTGTGAACCCGCCTCTGGTCTTGAGAGACACGTCAACTTCAAATCAACTTCAAAAAGGTAAAGCAAAGTCCCGTCACTAGGTCAGTGTGTCAACTCGTGCATGCGCGAAAGGAGCGTGTTTTGGCTGTGGCTTCAGACACTCTATCATTGCTCCCATGGAGCCGATTCCTCTCCTCGATACGCGTCGACGGGATTTCTGAGGTTTTCGAAAACAATATCCTTGTCGAACTTGCTTGGGCTCTCACAAAGATGAGGAACTCTCACCCGATTGCTCGAGAATGATCGGAATCGGCATTCGCAGCCCACCAAGGAAGAGCCCCGCCTAATTTCTAAAACAAGGGATACCGACGACTGGGAAGTCACTCCGTATCGAGAATCGGGAATGAGCTTTCAAAGCTCATTCATCCCAACCACTAACGACCCGCACGCCAGAGTGAGGGGACGAAGAGTTCTCACCGGGTCCCACAGCAAGAGTCGTAAGGACCCTATCTCGCGCCCTCCGCGCCCCATAGAGTTCATTGTTTTGCCGTAGCGTGGTGAACACTCAATCGTGGATTGAGATTCCTGTCGTTTCTCCGAGAAGGTTCCGAATCGCTACTGAACTTTCCCCGGCGTATCCCACCCTGATCCGGGAGCGTCTTCATCTGCTCAAGTTTCTGCGTTCCTGATCCTTTTCAAGACACTGCGACCGGAGATCTGATGCTCTCGTGTTTCAATCTCTTTACTGTGATAATGAGATTCCATCGAGTTTTATCGCATACGATTCCCGATCCAGAAACGGGAGATCAGTCTCGAATTTATAGATTCGAAAAATTCCCCCTCAGAATCCAAGGGACATTGTGCCTCTGGGGTTTCGCTTGAGTATTAGAATAATGGGAGAATATCGTTCTGCCGGTCTCTTCAAGTCAAGGATATCAACGGTCGGAGCCGTTGAAGGCATTGAGGTTTCACTGTATGGTGCAGCCTGCGGCGCGAACGACGTCGAATCGGGCAATTCTAATGTATTTCACGTGTAGTCCGCACATCTCTTGAGGCAGGTTCTCGTTCGCGAACGGCGGCTCGGAATATAACTCAACTAACTATCCTCATCCTAAAAGCTCCCCGAAGCCTAGCTGACCCAGGGCTTAATATTGGCAATTATGATTTATAAGTCAGGGCTGTGAATTTTGCGCGGTAATTTTCCGAAGGGACCGCCGTTCGACATATCCTCGATGGTATATGTATCAGAAAAAGGCTCGAAATACCGTGATCAATAGCACTCTTGTGGTGACCAGTGTAGCGATCGGAGCGGTTATTCCTTTGGGCGACCCAGGGACATTGTCCGGCTTGTCCGGCTTATCCTCCGATACTTTCCATCGGATTCCGGAGACCTTCGCTGTGTTATATTGGTCATCAGTGATAAATCGAGACTGTTCGCATCCACAATCGAACACCTTGATCTCTTCCCAGTCCTACGGAGCGATACTCGGTAAGAATCTACCAAACCAGATGGGTATTTCTCGTACGTGGCGCCTCCGCGTCCGACGATTCACACACATGGACGCATAAATCGCTTTGAGCGGACAATCCTCTGCGCAAGATGAGAAGGTCAGGAGGCAAACAAATCCTTCGTCACGGCCTAAAAGCTGACATACTTCCCGCTGAAGCCGTGATCCAAGAAAATACGTATGCGAGAGATTAGGTGGCTGTTGAGGTTGCGACTCAAGCGATAATGGAGAGGCCTCTGGAGGGATCGAGGATTCTCTCTCTCTCGCGCAGCGGATAACAAATAAAGAAGAATGCGGGATCCGAAGTCAGATACCATGGGTACCTCCAGCGTCGGAACCCATGTTTCCACCCAAAGCCGATAGCAGACACCGTGAAGTCTATTGGCACTGATGTTGCATTAGGTCGCATGACCCCTTTTTGAACTCTCAATTTATGAAGCCAAAGTTCATGTGCTGTGCTCCGGAACCGAGGAGAATGAGTCGTTCACCCCATAGTGTGCGATGATTAAGGTCCATCGCGCAGCTCGCTTGTTCCCGAGAGGGTCTACGAAATAAGCTTTATGAGCAAGGCGGGCGCATATGGGAAATCCAGAGACATCGCAAATCAATTGTGAAGAGTGAGTAGCGCCGATGGTCGACCTCCACCGATCTCAGGGTAACCTTTACGTGACAGCGCTCGTTAGGTGAATTGGCAGTTAAGACGCTAACGTGGCAGCTCGAAGTTCCGAGTGAAAAAGTTAGATGACGACTTCAATCGATTGAGAATTCGCTCCCGACACGACGCGGCGTGCCAAGGCTGCCTCATAAAATTTTCGAGTTCAGCCCTGATCGGGGTCAGAATTCCGCGCGTAATAAATGCGGGAATACAAGAAAACGCCGATTCTCTCCCGCGGATCCATTCACTCACTTCCCCGAGTTCCTCGCGAAGGAGCTGGAATTCTGGAAGATATTCCAGCCTTCTAGATTCGGGAGATTCCAGGAGGGATCCTTGAGATCAATGGATATTGAGGGTCAGATCGGAGAAGATTCAGTTCCCCGCGCGGGATGTGCGGGGAAACTCGCTCCCGAAGCTCCCGCTGTGCGCCTCAACTCATTTCCACTTCCAAACCCGAAATCATTCCTTGATAGAATTGTGGGATTCATTGTATAATTTAGCGCGCATCTGGTCGGTTTCATCGACGCTAATACAGATGGATTCTATCTCCATCCTTTTGAAGATATTGCATTTCTTCCCGCCGCTCTCTCAGAGTCGTGATTCGTGCTCTCTACGCAGTCATCGGGTTGCTACGGAGCAGTCAGCGCGGAGGACACCTCCTTTCTCTCTGAGCTGGTCTCTTTCTTGTTTTGGTGCGACGCGCCAAAATGGCGGCGCCGGCGACTGTTCGAAAGCATGGATTACGTTGAACGAACCGCGCGGATGTGACCGTCACCTCAGTAAAGCATGATGCTGAGGACGGTGACCCGCCTCCGCTGGTCGCGGTCGGCCGCGTTCAGGAAAAATGCCAAGAATTACTGTACCAAGATGCCCAAGTCAGTCCACGCGATAAAAGTGCTCTTGAACCGGGCGAAGATTCCCTTCCAAGTGGGGTCCACGTGCCTGAGAGTCCGGTGCCCGAACTGTTCATCCGGCTCTGACGATAAGCGGGGCTATCTGAACTCAACGAGTGGGACGTTTTTCTGCCCAGATTGTGAACTGGTCGCTGACTGGGGCGAGTTCAAACGTGCTCTCGAAAGTGACTATCGAGTGGAACCCAATGCTGAGCTTCAGACCGCGGCTTTCCCTACAGCTGGGGAACTCGAAGAGGTTCAGAGACGTCTATCCAGTGCGGTGGAAATGGCGAGTGTTCGAACAAAGGACATAGACCAGGTTCTCAGTACACTGGACCTCGGTCGGATCAAGGGGAGCTTCTTGAAGCTTTCAAAGTATCGCATATCTTACGACGACTCAGGCGATCCGAAATTAGTTCTACCAGTGTTGGATATCCGCAAACGTCTGATAGCTTTGACGTACGTAGGCGGCGGAGGAGATGTGGAGACGTTTCCGCGCTCTGGTATGGCCGGTTGTTTTTCAACGGAGGATACCGTGACAGCAGACAATCGAGTCGTGTTGGTTCCGCATCCGGCTGACGCGATCCTGGTCACCCAGCAGACGAGGATGACTTCGATCGCTGTGGAATCGACAGCACAACTGCCAGTGACGAGGCTTCCTCTGTTCGAAAAGTTCGGCAAAATCGTCATATGGTTCAACGCAACGAACGAGCACTGGCAGGATGCGCTTCTCTACGCCAGGAAACTCGGGAACGACCGTACATCGTTTCTGCGTCAGGTGCCGCAATTCTCGAGACCGCTTACTACGGAAAAAATTTCGGCTGCCCTCTCAACGGAGAAACCCATGGCCCACAAGTCGGTCATTGTATTCGACGACCTGCGTGAAGCAGTCCGCGACACGCTGATGAAATGGGAGTCGGCGTGCGGTGTAAAATGGACACGTTTCCCTGCCCTGAACAAGTATCTCAAAGGCCATCGACGGGGAGAGCTGACAATTTTCACGGGACAGACCGGCTCGGGTAAAACGACGTTTCTCTCGGAGTTGTCCCTCGATCTCATGATGCAAGGTGTTCCGACCCTCTGGGGCAGTTTCGAAATCAACAACGTCAGATTGCTCAGATGCTTAATGACGCAATTCGCTCTCGTACCTTTAACGGAGAACATGGCGAGGTTTGACGAGATCGCGGACGAGTTCCAGAAACTTCCTCTGTTCATGCTCAAGTTCCACGGACAGGAGTCAATCAACAACGTAGTCGAGGCCATGATGCACGCGGTCTACGTGCATGACATCCAGCACGTGATCCTGGACAACCTCCAATTCATGATGGGCGTAGCGGTGGAACGGTTTCAATTGCAAGACACCATAGTTTCGACGCTGCGAAGGTTCGCCACCGAATACAATGTACACATAACGCTAGTAGTACATCCCCGAAAAGAGAAAGACGACGATCCGCTGTGTACGGCGAGCATATTCGGAACGGGGAAGGTCAGCCAAGAAGCCGATAATGTTTTGATCCTGCAAACGTCGGCTCGTGGCTCGAAATTCGTTCAAGTGAAGAAGAACCGATTCGACGGTGACCTTGGAGCCTTCCCGCTCCACTTCGACAAACAATCTTTGAGTTATTGGAAGAATCTCCCGAGACCCGTCGACAACGGCGCCAAGGCGAGATGGCAGAATGGAAGGAAACCGCAGAGATCCTGAGAGCCTCAAGATCGTCCGTAGGATTGCACTAGACTCCTGAGAGTCGCGTGAGTTCCGACACCCTTGTGAGAATTCAACGTTGTCAGCCACCCTCCGTGTTTGAGTGATATCGCAGCGTAGACGGGCGGAGTTCGATGCCAAAGCTCGAAATGGACCGTTAATTGTTGTACCAAGTCCTTCGATAATGTTTTTCGACCTGTTCAGCGGAGTCTGTACTGAGCTTTAGACCTGTAAATACACCTCAAATCTGTACAGTGAGGGGTCCCATCAATTCGTATTCCCTTCGATTCGTTCCCTGCAGGGTTGATCCAATTTTGTGGTCGAGCCGGTGGGACTCCTCCACGGTGTGGTAGCTGGTCAGATATTCGGAGATCATGCCGACCTTCTGAGGGCGATCGGGGGAAATCCACGCCGATCGCCGATGTGGAATCGGGATCCGAGTCCGGAACGAATGGTTGTGCTCGAATTCCTGGAACGCCGCAGCGCGGCGCCGTAGTCGGCGCGTCGCCGTGACGGAGACGGATGCAACGCGGCAAGCCGCGTACGCAACGGCTTCTGGGTTAGAGGCCCCCGCGAATCAAACAAACGATACCTGAAAGGCGACAAAACTCCTCGTGCGATGAGGGTCGTTCGGAGACGATCCGAAAACTGGGCTGAGGACCCTCGTCCCCGACTGGGAGACTTCCCATCAGACCAGAGTTCCTTCGAGCGGGCCGATGCTGTACATTTATTCACTCCCCCGCTGATGGAGACCTGCAAGCTACGAGCTCAGCCCTCGGACAATTCGCCAATCTGGCGGCCTAAAGCATACGCTTGAATCACCACATGAATCGTTCCAGTTTTGGTACGAAGACGCACAATCATTCCTCGCTTACGAGACCTTGAAAGCCCATCACTCGGTGCGACCTGAAAGCCAATCACATGGAGGAAGTCCTAAAGTTCGAAGGTCGTCTCTTGTTGTCGGACATATTTCGAATAAAGCACTTGAGGGAGAATTATCCCTTCTCGGTTTCGTTATTTCGCGGAATATCCATACCTGTAGCGAGCTCGTCATTCGGTCGGGGAGGTCATTCTCGGGAAGCGCTCATGTAAAGCAGACCATACACCAACTGCTTTCAGTATCTCATATTTCCCCGCCTAGCTTCGGACGCCAACCAGTGGCGCGCGAGCGGCAACGGAAGAACCGCTCGAAAGTGTTCGATTCCGTCACCCCAACTCTTCGCGGGAGCCTTGATTAGGGAACGGTACTCCATAAGTAGGACCTCGACGGAGAATATTGTATTTTGTGCTTGACGAGGAGAGCTTCATTGCAGACGCCACGGAGAGGAAGTGAGAGCGACCTCAAAAGGGCATTCGGAAAAGTCTGCACAGGAGAACCGAGAGATGAATAATACGAAGCCGGGGGGCTCGCCTCCACCATGGGAATTCCAGATTCTATCGCAGCCGCGTTGAATCATTATCTTTCGCCGCTGCGTCCTGGAGCCGGAATCCGACTCTTGGAGAGTGAGGCCAAGTCTGAAATTTCATTTTCCAAGCGTATATCACTGCTGGCTCCCCCAACTTCCGCTTAAGGGAAGAGGGGAGCTCAGAACCGGCTTCGCGCATGATCACGCGGGTACCCGCCCCATGGAGCGTTTTCGGCGCGACCGACCGTCCCCCTTTTCTCCGATTCCTTGCTCCGAGCTATGTGAAGCATGTCAGACGCGTAATTCCCTGAAAGGATGAACAGCGTCGAGAGCAGACTCAATAACGAGACATGCCTCTCGAGAATATTCATCCGATATATGAAAGCTTCGAGGGTGTCGATTGACGGTCCGATCGATGCGCTCCATCCACTAATTTCCTCAGATACATATAGCGAGATATCGCACTCAATAGCTTGTTCAGAGTATCCCATCAGAATGCTCACATCCATACAGCTAGCGAGGGAAACGGCGCTGTAGGGGGAAATTCATACCTTTGCGCTTTATGATTCAATGCGATAACCACACAAAGCGCGTTGCCAGGAATCGAAACATTGTCTGGATTCGGAAGTCAGATTTATCTCTCTAGGAGAACAGTCTGGGCTCCGAATGGGCCCACCAGAGTCGACTTGACGAATTCCGGGCGTTCTTCTGGTCGACATGGACCTGATGCGGGCGGCTGTGGTGCTGAGCTGCTACTGTTTCTGTTCTTCGCTTTGGGTCTACGATCCGTGCACGACGACGATTTATGTTTTCGGCAATCGATCTCTCATCCAAGACCCGGGCGTTTACGTTCACAGGATCGGGTTCCCCGGTGTTTTCGCCGCACGGGCCGACTTCGAGAACGGTGCCGACTGCATGTGCTCGAACATGACCTGTTTCCGACGTCGTTCGGAGTTCTGCATCGAAGCCGGCACGGAAGACGACCCCGTCACCCAAACCTGGAGGTCCTATGCAGACATGAACCCGTCGACCGCGTATTCGGGAATAATTTTCACCATCGACGACAGTTCTTTCGACGTTTCCCGCCGACTGAGTTTGATGTCGAGAACATGCTACCCATACGTAGCCGTTGTCTGTGCATTCTGGAATCGGACCCGAGAATTCCCATGGATGGCGACGTGTTGTGATGCTCTTGTCTTCAGCGCGAGACCACTGAGAATCGATACGGAATTCATTCTTTACCAAGAGAGGTCGGTCGACGGCTCTGGTCAGGTCGTGATTTTCTCCCTGGCTCCGTACGAAACGTCCTGTAACAAATGCGGCCTCCTCATTCCTCTGGATACTTCGAATTTCCTGTACGAACCGAGCACTTACAGGGAACAGCAACGCTCTCCGGCGGATAAGCAAATCCCCATCGTGGTTCGGAATCGAGATGCTTATCTTACTCTCGAGAACCTAAACGAGTCAATGAGAGTGAAAGCCACCGGAGGTTTTGAAAGCGTCCTGGTCACGGACATTGCGGGAGCATTGAATTTCTCCTACGTATACATAGGAAATGTCTCGACCGTGACGACCGGGGGAGGTATTAACGTCAACGGAACATTCGACGGCATGCTCGACTTGTTGCTAAAACGCACGGCAGTCATGGCTCTGAGCAACCAGAAACCGATACATCCAGGTGATGAATTGTTTACGTTTTCGAAATGCTACGATGTGGATAATCTACCTTTTGCCTCGAGGGCGGAACTCTTTCCCTTGACGATGGATCATCTGGTGCAATCCATCGGAAGAAGATTAGCGTGTCTAGTAGCTGTGACTGTTGTGAGCCTCAGCGTAATAATTTCGTTCATCAGGCCCGTCAGCGGACGGCAACGACGCTTGCAGCGAGTATTGGAGCTCGTCTGGTTCTTGATGAGTCGCCTCGTGCATCCCGCGGCGGAATTCCATATTTTGACCTCACCGAACGTCCAATCGGATCAGCTGAGATGGATACTCACTCCGTGGGCGTGCCTTGCGCTGATTCTAACATCTCTGTTCAGCGGACTATGGGTAGCGTTTCTAGCCTCTCCATCGCTACTCAGGGTTATCGACACTTTTCCCGTTATGATGTCGCTAATCGTTCAGAATAATTCGACTTGCTTCATGTCTCCGGGCTTGGTCGAATCCGGATACGTGTTCGAATCCGCTAAGCCGATGTTCGAGCATGCGGTTGGTACAAGCGATGTAGAGTTCATCGTGAACTCTCTGCGAACAAGCGAGCAGCCATCGTTTTGGCTTTACGGAAACATGTTCATCGTGTATCAGCTCCAACGCTACGATCCCCATGGAACCATTCACATTAGCAGCGAGTCGTTCGTACTACAGCCCCAATGCTGGATCTTTCAGAAGAACTGCGGTCTGGAAAGCAGGATATCGGACTTCTTGGGGTATTACAGCGAGTCGGGATTGCTTTCGGTGTTGAAGAGTCGCTTTAACGTGTCGAGACCGCAGCCCTCGGAAAGAGCCAGGAGCTTCAGACCGATGCGGATCACTCAAGTCTATGAAGTGTTCGTCTTTATTTTCGTGGTGCCTGCGATTTCCAGTGCCATAGTTTTTCTTGAGCTTTGGGTGGCATCTCGCCTCTATCCGTAACTGCACAGGACAACCCGCACGGGGCTGCCTGAGGAAGGAATGCGATTGAAGTTTTCGTCCGCGTATGTCCTCCAAGTTCGCTGTGATGGACGCCGGCGCCTCGAGTCCGATCCGTGATGAGGGCTGGGCAGGAATAGTCTGTGAGATTCTTAAATTCTCATTTTCGAAAAAAATTGTCCTCGAGCCGATGTTTCGATTCTCGAGTGGAAAAGAGTGGAGCAGTATCCGTCGGTTCTGTAGATTTCCTTCGTGTTCAAAACTCGAGCGCGGGTCTTGTGGGGTGCACGATCATCGTGGAGTTCACGAATCGTCATGCTCCATCCTTGTTCCGGATCCTGCCTGATAACGACGATTAGCTCCTCACGGGGCACAGTCGGACCTCTCCCAACTCGCCCCGCCTAGAACTTGCGAGAGACTTGAATGAACGGAAGAAACCGCTATCCGTTGGCCGAAGCCATGAGAATCATTCCGCGGTGTGACCATATTTGCCCCGAGGAACGAAACAACTTTGGAACGACACGGATGCCCGGCAGCTCACAATTCGATATCATACCATGTGATGATGGGGAAAGCTACAGCTGTTTCGAACGCGAGGGGCGAGGCTCGATGAGATCGAATTTGGCAGAAACGACCCGGAGCGGTTCCCTTGTGCTTCCCTGTTGAAACTAACGTGTACAGACTTTCGGAGCATCCGAGAGCCCACATAAACTCGGAAGCGGAGAATGTTCGTGTTGCAGTAGGTGCATAGGATCGGGGTATTCAGACTACTCGATTTCATGCGGCTGTGGCGCAAACGTGGTCCGCGGGGAGCTTGCACGCAATCGGAAATCTCCTTGGTGCGGTAAGGTGACAGAAGTTCATCGCCCGTCGTCACGTCGGAAGATCGACGAGCCCAAAGAAGAGGCGTACGTGTCGCCCCATCATCTAAGCTCCTATCCTCACCCTTTCCAGATTCGTCACCAA